TGGAAGACAGAACCCTTTTACCAGCGTTACAGTGGCCTAACCGTACTGCTAAGCATGGCTAGTTTACTGTTCTTTGGAGTAGCTTTATACGGAATTTTGGATACTTCAAGTGGTAACCATGTTATCTATAATAATGGTACGCATGACTTTGCACCAACGGTATTGTTGATATCATTGGATGGAGTTGTGAACAATGATTTAGATTTATCTGTTACTCCAGTACTCAGTCGAATGGGTAAAGTATATATAAAGAAGAACTATTGACAGAGGACTCATACACGCGCTATATAGCAAAGGAAGGATCAAGAGCAGAGTACATGACCCCTTCATTTCCGGTAAGGATCATCCCATTTTCGATCTAGGTGGGAACAAAAAAAATGTATTCATGGTAAATTAGCCTATTACTTTCCCAAATCATTGGTCTTTAGTCACTGGATTATACCCAGAGTCTCATGGGATTGTTGGTAATTACTTTTATGACCCAGTGTTGAATGACAGTTTCTATTATAAATCCCCTGAACATAGCTGGGATTCCAAGTGGTGGGGAGGAGAACCAGTAAGGAAGGAAAAGGTGAAGAAAGTGTGACAAACGAGGCTAAACTCTAATAAATAGATTTGGATCACAGCAGTAAAGCAGAATAAAAAGTCTGGTGTTATCATGTGGCCTGGATGTAGCACGAGCTTTGAAGGATTACGGCCAACATACACAGTTGCATTTGATAACTTTGTTACATTTGATGAAAAGGTGGACCAAGTGTTTGATTGGATTGATTTGCCTATTGAAGACAGACCGCAGTTTATTGGGTTATATGTGCCTCAGGTAGATCAAGCTGGACATGCCTATGGACCTTTTGCTAATGAAGTAAGATGGCATAATCAAAAGGCAGAAAGCGCCATTAATACTTTATATAATCAATAGACGATGAGACAGTTATCAATTGCTGATAAGAATATTGGAAGGTTACTAAGAGGAATTACAGAAAGAAACTTGACAGATATCATCAATGTCATAGTTGTGAGTGATCATGGTATGTCACAAACAGATAAGACAAGATTGATACACTACGATGAAGAGTTGACAGAAGAAGAACTGTCATTGATATGGCAAATTGAAACATATCCTATTCTTGGTATACGTTTACATCCTGCCATTAAAAGCGAGGAAGATGCTGTTGAAAAGTTATACAGAGCATTTAAACGGTTACAGCAAAAGACGGGTCACTTCGAAGTATACAAAAAGAAGGACGTCCCTGAGAGATATCATTTCAGCCATAATGTCAGGATCCCACCTTTGCTTGTCTTGCCAGATGTAGGATGGAATCTTGTTACACATCAAGAGTATGATCCTGCACTTGGCCAAGATTATTCACCCAAGGGAGTCCATGGTTATGATAATTTATCACCAGAGTCAAGGGCTATATTTGTAGGAAGAGGTCCTAACTTTTCCAAGAACAAGAGGATTAAGCCTTTTTGGAATGTAGAATTGTTTAATGTCATGTCACGTATTTTAAATTTGAAACCAACAAACAATAATAATACCTTAAATGGTGTTTTACAAACAGTAGAATAAAAAAAGAGAATCATTTGAAGCCATCTAAACCTCATATGACCTGATGCAGTGCTTCCCCCTCAAATGAAATTGTTATTGGAGGGGTAACACAATCTTGGCGCTCAACTCTATTTATTCCATTATATAAATCATTTAAAAATAGCCTGTTTTGTTCATCTTGCTGTTGACAGTTGATTTGCTTTTCCCCAGCTTGAATGAGATATCACAATTCTGCACAAGCGACAGCTTCATGTGATTTAATATATCCTGTAAAGGGAATATAAACAATCAAAGGATTGTATATATTTATAGACTTTTTCTTCTTCATTCTTAATCAAATAAATGTCATTAGCTAGCATCCATCCCTACCATCCTCAAATGTCTATCTCATCTATCACTCATAACAAAACAGTATTGTCGCCCTATTCCACTGACTTTACATTGGTTGAAAGGAAAGAGCGTAATAAGGCGGCTTCTGCAAGATATCGTGTGAAAAAAAATGCACAATACCATGAAATGAAGCACACAATACAAGAGATTACGACAAGAAATAAGATATTGGAGACACAAATAAAGGAATTGAAAGAAGAGAACAAGAGACTAAGGTCAGCAACAGATAAACTAAGGAGTCAGTTGATAGCCAATAAACTGTTAAATAAATGGATAAAGAGTCATCACAATGATGGATTTATGATGGATATGGGCTCATTTCAAGACGATGATTTAAACTGTTGTTTATTAAAATAAAGCCATTTATCCATGTTGCCATTCATTATTGTTGCTTCCTACAAATGCAAACTTGTCCAGCATATTAATCTCGTCTTGGGTCAAGCGGAATCCTAAGGCAGTGAAGTTTTGTTCTACATGATCAGCTGTTCTGGCTCCTCCGATAGGAATTGTGCCCTTGGCAATACACCAATTGAGAGCGATTGCACTCTGAGATCTTTCGTACTTGTTGCTCAATGCCTTTAAGGTGTCCAACAGCTTGGTTAGCTGCTCAGGATCAAACTTTCTAAAGAAGCGATCACGCTTCTCAGGGAATGGGCCATGAGGATGGTATTTGCCTGTCAACAGACCCATACCAAGCGCTGCAAAAGGGGAGAAAGATGAGTAAATGCAAGCGACGTTGATGTTATCAACTTACGAGAATAGGCCAAGACAGCAACTCCGAGATCATGACATAACTGAATAAGACCTGATTTCTCAGGGATGGTACGAAGCAGAGAGAAGGAAATTTGGTTGGATGCCAAAGGAACATTTCTTTTTTGCAATGCTGCATGCATACGCTTAATCTCGTCAAGACCATAATTTGATACACCCACAGCCTTGACAAGACCAGCGTCATATGCGTCCGCTAGGGCATCGGCTAACAAGGAAAAAAAATTAACCCACCAATCACCAAGTGGTGCAACATCAGACCCTTACCAACAATTTCTATTTCTGCAGGATGGATAGCTGCATGAATTTGATAAAGATCGACCTTGAACATGCCTAAGCGAGCCAAGGAGTCCTTGAGAGCAGACAACAAGACATCAGGAAACTGAATTCGATCCGGATGTGGGAAGAATTTGGTTGCAATGATCTGCTGGTTTTTTTCTTCTTCTCCGTAACTTTCTCGGAATCGTTTAATTTCACTTTCTGATTCACCGTCTCCGTAAACTTCGGCTAAATTGAAGAGGATAAATAGAATGTCCGTGGCAGCAGTAGAAACTTATTACCAGTGTCATAGAATGGGATGCCTAATTCAAAGGCCTTGTTAAATGCTTTTTTTGCATCCTCTTCAGCTTCTGGAGTCCAGTCCCAGTCTAAGAATGATATGGTCAAAATAAGATGCATATAAAAGATGTAATACCTACATGACTTATCTCCCCATTGCCAGCAACCGATGGCTATCACGAAAAACAATAAGGTCTATGTATTTATAATATAATGAATGATTTACCAATAGGTGGTACTTGAATGGCTTTTCCTAAGGTTAGTTTTGTATTTTTTGTAGGAACTACCGAGTCTTCTAGAAAAACCGTCATCTTTTTAGTAAAGGAAAAAAAGAGAGTAAGAAAAGGGAGATAAATGGGTTTATAATCCCACGCAACCGTTGTATTGTAACGCAAAATGCGACCTTGTGTGCAATACGGTGCTTTTGGAAAGTTGCACTGAACAAGGATTCGCGTTTGTTGCCAAGACGGATTGATTAAAGAAAGTTTACTGAATAGTTTTGGAATTTTATAATACATAATGATGTATTTATGTACAAAATAAGATAGATACATGTGGGGAAGGATGTGTCACTGGCTTACAGGTGTGGTATTGAGCTTAGCTCAAATTGTGTAAAAGAGAACACCAAAATCGCAATATCGACATTTTTAAGCACCGCGAATCATTTGCTTAGCACTCATGCATAAAGGTTGCCATTGATGAAAAATGGCAAATGTTCAAGTTATTACAACATTTGATTTGCTTGAACTCGTCTGACTAAAAATTTTTTTTATACATGTATTGGTTTAAAAAACACATGTTATGAAAAATCATCACCATTGGAGCTGATAGTTGAGTCGAGTGGGATAAAGATAAAGTGGTGGCAAATGGAACATTGTGAAAGATATATTTAAATAGCGAGGATGATGCAGATGATTACTTGAAAATGGGAACTTCTTGAATATATTTGTCTGTGGAGTATCTTGTACCAGATTTTTTTTTTTCGAGAAATAATCAATGATCAAAATTATTCCCCAAGTGTAGACAGAGATAGGAGGAACATGGTACTGAAATAAAGATTGCATAGGCGCGTGAGCATTTGGAGCTTATAAGCTATACTTTTGGCGTAAGAGAAGCTTGAAATATTTTGGTGACAGATCGAATACTAAAAGCATTATCCATGACAAAATTAGCAATTTGGTAGTGAAATGTTTTTTTATCAGTCTTACGCTGACAATGGATAAGGAGCAGGAAAACAACATTGTCTTTGCAATTGAATTTCTTTTCCTTTAAAGTTATCATCTTTGTTCTGTCATTTATCTTCATATCTGTCGTTTTTACGCTATAGTGCTTAAATTGTATGATATTACTATACATTAATAATAATAAAATAAGCTTGTGTATATATTACGTTATTCTAGCATAATTCAATAGGATTAATCCTTATTGATCATGTTTATTCGTTTTGTTAATAATCCTGTTTCTATGAAAAAGACGCTGTTTGTGTAATCATAAGCTCTTTCTCTCGTCGTAAAATTAATAAAAGAGATTATACAGTAGGGCTCGTTGACTTGTCTTCAGATCTTCATCGAGTGCCACTTTCCTTTATAGAAACACTGTGTACGTAATCGTTTGCTGTAACGCAAAATGCAATCTTGGGTGCAGTAAATTTAATATGTGGGACATTGAAGTGTAAATGAAGATGATTTAATAAAAAAAATAAATACAAAATGCTTTTCTTCTATTTCCTCTTTTTTGTTTCTACAATAAAAATACTATTTACAATAATATAGAATAACAGAGGTTGCATAGATACACATTGGGTGGCTGTGTGTGAGAGTGCGGGTGTGGGCGTGTGTGGGTATAGGCAAATCAGGCCATATTAAGTGTTTCAAGAGCATCAACAAAGATTTCTTCTTCCTCTTGGCTGTTATCAATCTTCAATTCAAAAGTAAACATCGTATTGTCTTGTGATATCATAGTCACTGTGTCGTTGAATGATACAGATTTCCGTGGTTTGCCTTTCTTCCTTTCGGGTTCGTTTATAATGCACCTTTTTGAATTTAGCAATGTATTTCGCTCCAGTACATCTCGATTAGTATTCAGTGACTCTCCAAGCCAATTTTTATGTTGTAAGGGTATGTACATCGATCGACCATGGTGATGCCGTCTAGTCTTTACAGCCGTCCCGTTGTCATTTAAATAAAGTGAGAGCAATTGATAGATAGAATTATCTATCTCGCTCTTTGTCTCTTCCTGGCTTGTAGTCGTGTGTGTATCACGAAATTTCGGATAAGAAAATCTTGGCTCAACTACATTGGTCGTACTCATCATGATATAAATAAATAAAAAGAAAAAAAGAATAAACTACAGTGCATCGGCTTAAATACTCGAATTTTAGATAATTATAAATATAGAAATATTGTTCGGAACAAGGAAAAACCACAAAAAATTTATCAGCTTCTTGAATAAAACTGACCCTTGAAGGGTACCCTTGTTCCTTTGGAAGAGGATATTCATGGATACCGGAAATAGGGTAAGCATATCATCCTAGAGATGTCTATTGTCGTTTTGTTACCAAACCGTGACAACTCTTGGTGGAAACTTGCATGTTAGTTTCTCATACCTCCTACATTTAAAATATATAAGCCCTCGACTACAAAAAAAGGGGGGCTACATGAACATGTATGTGACCAAGAAAATGAGTTGATAGCCCCATTATTGTCTAATAATATGGTGAGCCGTTAACATAACAAAATATTAATAGCACTAGCTTTCAGGACGCCGATATGCATGTGTAACTGCCCCCCTCCTCTCGGAAAAACTCTAAAAGGTCATGATTTGGTGAAGATTATGGAACAAGTCATGCGCAGCAGATAAGTATTATTGTTTTTTGTTGCTGTCTTTTATTATTGGAATTAGTAATGGCGTTAAATGCTATTGAATCTTCAGATATACCCCTTTAAGTCTATTGATGCAAGGGCGTAATTGATAGTTATTCTGATACTTTTAATTGGAACAATAAGGGTCTACCTGCATGTTTAAGCTCCGCCACCCCTATTCAACCTGCATATTACTAGAGAGTTTCGAGAAAGTTTTATAGGCTTTCTTTACAAGACAAAAATAATAGGAAAACTGCAATACATAGTGAATGTGTATATTCTGGTTTCATTGTTCGTAACAACATTTCTTCAAAGTAATTAGAAACAAGGGGCTAAAGTCATTGGTATAAGTAGCAGATTAAGTGAACACGGTTAGCTAGAAGACTAATGAATAGATAATAGTGTATTGTTCATTTTATACTTACCGAGGCGTTAAGTAATGTATTGCTGTTATAGACAGCGCATTAAATTCAGGGAGCACCGTTAGTCTTTTGAAGGTCTTTTGAGGGGGGAGGACTTTCATCGTCGTGTTTTGATTTGTAGACAAAGATACCATATATATTTAATGCATTGTTCACATCACGATTCCACACCGTACCACAAGATTCACACTTGAAGACAAAGTGTACTCTTCGCTTTGATCCAGTAATTGAGATATTATTTAATTGTTTGAATTTGCACTTGTTACAGATCTGACTCGTCAAGTACTCGTCAGCATAAACAAATTCGGCCCCCCATTGGGTCGTTTGCATTTTCGTTTGATTTCTTCGGTAATACATTTTATAGGTGCAGCTCGTTTTTCTTTCATACTTGAACAAAAAGAATCATTTCCGAACGCAATGATTCGCTTCCGTTGAGAGGAGAAAGGGAGGTCAGCAGGAGGTAATGGTACATAACTTATTATAAAAAAATTGTTGAATAAAGTCCACACTTTCATCCAAAAAAAAAAAATAACACGGTTAATAAAATCGGCCCCCCTCTCTCATAAAATGTCTTTAAATATGAGGACAAAAATCGGAACTTCTCTTCCGGTATGTTTCATTTTAAATAAAGTTTCAATCTCTTTTGCCATTTTTGAGGAAAACAAAAAGATTTGTATCTATAGACTTTTTTTGGCAAGAAAGAAAGACAAGAAATCAACAATTGGATAAATAAGATATTACACAAACAAGTTTAGGTATTCATTGTCGAGATATAGTCAAGTCATAGTTTTTATTAATAATCTTAAACAATGGCATAAGCTGGGTATTTACAGCATAAATGGTTTCCATGGAAATGCAAAATAAACTTTTAAAAAGAAAAAGGGCGTAAAACAGGAGGTAATTGAATCACTTTTTGGATACAGTATTCGTTTTATCTGTAGTATTGTTTGATGGACCATTGACAGACGGATCAAGTGCAGGTGGTTCTGGGTATGGACGAGGAAGAGGTAATCGTCTAGTGTTTCTATCAGGAGGCATGGTGAATGAATAAAAAGAAAAAGAGAGAAAGAAAAAAGAGTATATATATATAGAGGTTCTTTACTATCGGAGACAGCCGTTATTATTTCTATGCACACGACTACTCACGCGTTTGACATCATGAAAGGACTACTTTATTTTACTGTTTCACATTGTTATTTAGATGTCATGTACACGAGTATATGTCAAAATCTATTTCAATCGGAGAAGCCAGTCAACGCATGGCGACTATTATATTCATTGTTAATATATTTATTGACTGGCATGCAAAAAGCTTAAAATATTATCTAATCTATTTGATGGGACACATCAAGTTCGTACTACCACATTATCGCTAAATTTTGGTATTCACTCAACAATGTGTCTATAGTCAATGTTTATACACGTCTATACTCACGAATTTTGTTGCTATTATTATCCCCCTTTTTAATACATTTACAAGCCACCTGGTCTCTCTTTTTTTTCTATGTCTGTTAATCTAAGAGCATGCCTCAAAAGGTTTCATTTACAAGACGAAAGAAAAGTGCAGAATCGCGCTGAAGAATTCCTTGGTAAATTCCATCCTTTAGGTAACATCATATTTGATAAAGGAGGACCCAACTGTAAAGTGGTTATTGCCATTCAACTCGCATGTGAAAGGTACTAAAATTGATCATTAAAGCTTTACATTTACACTTGTTTATAGTCTTCAAATCACTGATTGGGACATAAAGATTGCTGCTGCCATTGCAGGTTGTTCTCTGAGTACATATGAATCTGTATTAAGTACAGTCCGAAAAGCACTCGACATTCAGCCGTCTGTGTCGTTCAAGACACTTGCTGTAGCATTGGGATCTACAGGCCTAGTATCTCTAGCTCAAGAACTCTGGACTGATTTTGTACCTCGATACTTGGATGTCTACACTGGTGCAAGAAGACAGGCTGCTGAAAAGGAAGTAAAATCACCTTGCTGGAAAGGTGCTGTTATGTTTTCGTGTGCTAAAGCATTTGGTGTAAGCAAATTGTATTTTATGTATATGCCAGCGAGAAGAGAGAGCTTATTCTTTACTGCAGGAAAGGTTAAAAAAAGACGACTTGCGTCAACTCTGTGGCTGTACAGCCATGGAACTTAATTTGGCCATCAAATCTGTAGATTCATTCTGTGCTCAGAAACTAACAGAATTCAAGAAACGACCTAATGCGCTCAAGAGAGCAGCTCCACAAGACAAAAATGAAGAGAAAGCAGATGAAGAAAGGACTGTAAAGAAAATGGTCATAGTTCCTGTCTCGGGTATCAGTTCAATGATCGATCACCGTGATTATAAAGCAACCAAGCGATATAAGGATTACATGGCATGGCACACAAGTATGGTTCAGCAGTTAAAAGAACAGAAAGCAAAGTAAATATACCCCCTTCCTTTTTATTGACCATTTAAATAAAATATCACAAGTTTCATTTATTTTTAAAACAAAGAGCTTAATTGAATATACCTAATTGAGAAATAGAGATGCCAATATCATCTTGTTACTGATACTGCACAGCATAATGATTCTGACTGCATTTGAGTGCATAAATTGAAACGTTTTCTATTTATAATATAAAACTATTTTATATGACTTGATTATAGTACGTATCACTACAAATGTAACCTATGTGTTGGTGTAGATGAGTATGATATTTATTTGCATAGCCACTTTTTTTTGCTTCATGGGTGCTTTTAATGTCTGCTGTTCGTTTACCAAGGTTTTCTCTTTTGTGATATCGTCAAGAGAGTTGTTTATCTGTACAATGATATTATTAATCGTCTTTTCGATATCACGTATTTCCATTAACAGCTTGGATATACTTCCTTCGTCTATTTTTACCAAGTTGTTCTGTTGTTTGATTGCACCATCGAAGGCATTTTCATCATCAGTAGCCCTTTCTCTTTTGCCTCTGTTGCTTCTAGTCCCTACATTAGTCATTGTTGCTGTAGATGAGCTTGAGTAGCTGCTTGAAGATGAGCATTGTGGCAGCTGGTGATGATTAATCGATAGCCAAACTCTGTACCCTAACTTTTACACAACTGTTTAATCTTGTTCAAATCAAATATTGTAGCAAACAGGCTGCCCTTATTGTCTTTTGCCATTGTTTCATTTTTGATGTAGTTACCGTCCTGTGTTTGTGCTCTGATTGACCCAAATTTTGAGAAAAAAATAATAATACAAGCCAACTGTATTAAGCTGCAAAGCATGGACAGTGGATGGCTTCGTGTTTGGTACAAGTGCTCGACAAAGCTTGCTGTATCCTGTTCGAAAAAGGATGGCGTTTCAGGCTTTTACTACAGGAAGGCTCACTAATACATGCTTGTCCACATCTACTTCTCTTACACGTAGAAGAGCCAATTGCCTGAAAAAATTATGGATATTCAATACAACAGATACTTCCAAATTGGACAATTCCAGATGTTGTAAGTTACGCTCGATGGATTGGGAATCAATTGCTTCATGAATGCTGTCCTGACGCATAAGCAGACTTTTGATATATCTAGCAATTTTCTTCTGCTTGTTTTTACTCGTATCACTACTAGGAAGACTAGCAGAAGCTTCCTCAGCAAGCATAGGACTAGTAACGTCAGATGTAGTATTCCTTTCTTCAGTAGGAAGATGAACATCCATCTGTGTAGATGATTCATCAACAGTACTACTCTTGGTCTGGCAGGATCCTCTAATTTGATCTTCAAGTTTTTTAATGATGTACTTCTCTTGGCGCAGCCTATTGGCGTTAATAGAGCAACCACTCTTCTGCTTGGCTTGAAGTTTGCGAAGGCGCTTTCGGTGTCGTCACAGTCTTTTCTTAATAATCTTTCTTGAATAAGAAATACGGTTATCCTGCTTTTTCTTAGCTTTTTTTACTAAGATTACAAAAGCTATCACAAGTAAATTAGAGAATGTTATTAAACGAAATCAGTTCGCTTATCTGTATCTTTTGTCAAAAAATTTTTTTTTCCTTTGTGGCGGCCAGATGTAGTCATAGCAGGACTAACAAAGTCTTCTCTAGTAAGCGAGGCACTCGCTCATCCGAGTACATCGTTGCAATATTAGTGGCAAACGTTTTCAGAAGAGGGCCAATTAATGATCTCATCTGTGGTGGGCATTCTGTGACCACTATATCCAATGGCTCCACTTTACCAAGCCAGATACTTTTTTCGCTTGAAGAAGTTCTTGGTCTTTTACCAAAGAAATGGCTGTAAACAAATGACAAGTGATGGTATGAAAGGAATTCGTACTCTCTTCGTTCCTCTACTGGCCTAGTTTGCTGTAATAATAAATCCTTTTTAATGTTGACTTAGAGACGCTTAGGATAAGATTAATTTCTTCTCCCTGTGTTTCCTTGGGTATTACTTGATTAACGTGTAATTTATTTTCCCCAATAGTATAAAACAAGAACATATCAGCATTGACCCGCCTTTGCTAAAACCCTAATAGTGTTACCTCTGTGAATAATCTTTCACTATGAGTTCTATGATGATAGAGATGTCTAATAAGACATCAAATGCAATCCTCTGCCCTTTTCTTAATGTATTTAATACACTTTCGTTATCATCTTTGAGAATAGCCTGAAGAGGTGTGGTGACCATTTTTATACGTTTTGTTTGTTGTTGTTCTGTGTTTACTTTCTTCTTTTGTGTTTGAAGCTTTTGATCGACAAAAAGCTGATCATACATTCTTTTCTTATTTCTTTCACATATTGGTGCTATGGCAATATCACGAGAATGTATAGCTTTGTATAAACATCAAATGGTCGCAAGCAGTAATGGCTGTGCTTGGGCTTGTATCGTCTGAAATAAAAGGCATAAGTGTATTTACCCTCTCAGTATTTCTGTTTTGTTACCTTCTAAAAAACTGTTTGCTTGATTCCATAATTCTGATGCGTCTCTATATACATTTAGCAAACTATTTTTTGCTATTTCCCTTTCCTCCAAGTCTTTTAAAAGTACTTCTTCCGTTGGACTTTCTTTTTTTTGGATAGGTTTATCATTTCTCGCTTTAACCTTGACTTGAAGGTTTGATAAATGAAGAGCTGGCATCTTTCTTTTATTGCTTGTTCTGAGAGGATAGTAATAGCGTCTATTAGGGATACAGAGGATTAGTCATAAGAAAGAGAGGAAAAGGAAGATGGACAACAATAATCAAATTTATTCAAAGGTGGCTATAACTTATCCATTATTCTGTTGCCAACACTGCTAAAATCAGTAGCTTTAAAGCTGAAATGGGGCATCAATAGTGACGCACTCTCTGATGGAACTCCTTTTCTATAAAACAAATACTTAATCTCAGGCGACCTTTTTTTCTGTTTTGACCTTTATTTTGCTGGGCCTACAACGCCAGAAATAAGATAATTATGGATCTTACAACAATTGCCTCAGAAAAATAGGCAAGCATTCTTTTGTTCATAAATAAGAAATACTAAAAATAACAAGGATATTCGTTGTAAAAGAACAAATTCAAGTTTTATCTGTTTCAAAGATACAGGGCTTAATGCATATGTTAAGCATTATGTAACGTTTAGGTGAAAATAAGCAAGCCTACTCAAGATACAAAACTGGTTAGAGATCATGTTCGTGCTAAGCTGAATAGCATGACGTACTCGGAAACGCCCGAAGCATTCGATCTGGCCCTTCAGCCATTCCTTGCTGAAAATAAAGAGGTTAAAGTATTCCTTGCGTACTTCAACAGCTTGTGACTTCCGAGAAAGGAACTGTTGTCCGTAGTGTGGATGCAGGTAATCGTTAATGCTTATTGTTCCAGTTTACTAAAATCTAGCATTTCTGTCTATGCATAGAATGCTTCTTTCCATACTAACAATTTAATAGAATCGTATTATAATCAATTGAAGACGTCCTATCTTGATCGCTCTCGCTCTTTGTGTGTATATCGCCTAGTCTGCCTGTTATCCCAAGTGGTACCATTAGATTATTGGCAGGACACAATCAAACCTGTGCATGATTTTGGTAGGTTTCGCTTGACAGCCAACGAAGAAAAGAAGAGAAGAGCAGCATACTGCATTGATTACGACGTTGTCTGTTCCATGGTCGAATAGCTCGAAGAAAATGTCTACCAGCACAGATCCTTCACTGAAAACGTCCGCTTCTATGAGATGGATACCAAGGAAGGCTTTCTGAAGAACTACAGCTGCACTGATCAAACAAAGGTGTATAAGCATGTTTTTTTTGGTCAGCCGCGTAACCAAGCTGCCCTTCTCTTCTCGTGCTCCTGCCCCTGTTGCTCATCAAGAAAGACTTGATACCCTACATGATAACCAAGGCCATCTTTGCCGTGAGTTGTTAGAAAGTGCGGACCAAAACGTCCGAGTTGTGCTTGCCAAGTATAATGAAAAGATCAGGCAATTGAAGGATAATCCAGAAGATTTTTATATTCTGGTAAGCGCATTAAAGCAATCTATATCAATTGTAGAAAACGTCTGTTATGTACTCCAACCAAGGCCTGCAAGACAGCAATAGTTCTGTCTTTTTTTTTATTATAAAAATAAACTACACAAGTTCCCACTTCGATACTATTCTTCATTTTGTGACTACTAAATTTTTTGGGTATTTATTGTCAACGAAGAGAGTAGCCTAATTCGGAGACCCAAATGCCTTTATAGCATCATTTAGGTCGATCCCTTTTTCTATTTTTTGCCTTTTTCTTCTTTATTTTTCTCACTTGATCATGTATAATATAAACAAAAGGACGTGGAGACTTCTATTGGGCCTACTAGTCACTGTAGTTCTGCTTTACATAGTCCAACGTCAGACTACCACTAGATTTTCAAAAGGAGCAACAACAGCTCAAATAGAGATAGTCAATGATGTAGCAGATAAGAATGCATTTGTCACTTTTCTCTGCGATGACGTGATGGTAATATACCCCCTTATACTGTTTATATTAATCTTGATAATTGTCTATTTAGGGAGAAGCTACTGAGGTCCTTGTTTATTCATTAAAAAAAACCAATACCCAGCATGACATTGTGGTTCTAGTCCTCGATGAGGTTACACCTATTGTACGACAAAGGCTGGAACATTTGGGCGCTAAAATTATTAATGTCAATCAAGTAAGATAAAGCGTAGAACAAAAATAATTCAAATAATAATGATTTTTTTGTAGATCAAATATCCATGGGACTCGAGTTCGGCCAGAAGAAAGGGGTTCAATAAAGCTTGTAGATACTCAAAATTAAATCTTTGGAGCTTGACGCAATATAAAAAGGTTGTATTTTTAGATGCAGATACAATGGTGCTAAGGGTAAGTTTTATATATCAGCTTTTATTCAATATACTCAGATTATATTTCCAGCCTATCGACGATCTCTTTGATTACCCACAGTTTTCAGCCGCCGTAGATATCGGAGGCGTCTTGAACACGGGAGTCTTTGTTGCCGAACCTAATGAGGAGACCTTTAAAGATATCATGGGCACTTATGAAGATGCGCCTAGCTATAATAGAGGGGATCAGGGATTTCTGAATTATTACTTTAATCAATCAGTCAACTTCTTACCCGGCTATTACAATTTAATGGTCAAGTTTACAGTAAGTCATCTTTGTTTCTATTCAACAACATACTAACATATTGAAGCATTTTTCGACACTTGCTTCCAGTTATATTTCTAAAAACACAGCAAGAGTATTGCACTTTACAAGCGAAACGAAGCCTTGGAATTTTTATTTTTTACATCAACGGGAGTGGAGAGAGAATTATGACGGATATTTATTTGGTTTGTGGACAAGAGCTCTCAGAGAGGCAAAGGCAGAGTTAGAAAAAGGTATAGGGAAATAATAGGTAAGAAGATTCATCTTAACTAAAGCGTTTTTTAGATGGCCTATGGTCTGAAGAAGAAAGCTTGATCATCAAAAATCAACCAGCTGTCATCAAAAACAAGGGACGTGCACAGGCCATCTGTGACACTCGACTTAAGCGAACTTATGGACGCCGATATCCCAAAGTGGCTCAATTTTCGCTTATCTTGAATGTGAACCCTCAGACGACAAGACGAGAACAAGTCGAAGCCTTATTACGTACCTATGCTCGTTCTCCCAAGGTGGCTCAGATTTACATTCACGGCAATACAGTAGACGATAGATTGTCGGCAAGTTATCTTCGTCAGCTACATCTTGGAAAATCAGTTCGACTTGTGCCTGAATCCGAATACAATACATCCAACACTCGATATAATCCTATTCAAAGCATTACAACCGAGGGTGTGTTTATTACAGATGCGGATGTAAGTAATGGGTATTTGCGTGTAACTTTTGAGCTTATTTTCCTTTTTCTCAGGCGTTTATATCAGTAGAAGATCTCGAATTTGGCTTCTCTGTTTGGAGGAAGCACACAGATTCGATTGTCGGATATTCCTCAGACAAACATGAGGAACAAAAAGGATACAGCATGATTCGACCTGATGCCATGTTTATGAAATCAGATTATTTGTATGGCTATACATGCCTATTACCAGAACAGATTCATCATTACATTGATTATCATCCCACTTGCCATTATATTGCTATCAACATGCTCGCAAGTGGTATGACAGGAACCCCGCCATTACTGGTGGATGCACCTTCATTCAAAACAGCATCAAACACAATACAACCAACCGATAGAATAGATTGTATCAATGACCTTTCATTCATGTTTAACAACAAGAACCCCCTTGTATTTAATGATGAAGTGATATCTAAAATGTAAACAATAAAGATTTTCCTTTTTTTATTCATTACAGCAGTCAGCCATAATTTTCTCTACAATCCTTGTCACTCGTTCCTTGAATGTAAGTGCAGAATATTCCTGTATATTTTCTATGGAATAAAGCTTTTCGTCTTGTCCTTTCACTGAGGTTACATGGAAATTGATATGAAATGATGACATGTTTGCATCATGATGGATTTGTGTATGTCTATAGTCTACATTAGATCCAGTTGCACACAGCCAGTTTCTACTTACATATGCTGCCATTGGCCATCTTTTGTACATAGTGAGCCGTGAATGGATTCATCAATGCGATCCAATTTCCATAGAAACATCCTTGCTTGGTAATTTGGATGAAGCCGAATGATATCATTGGCTACATTACAAATGGTCTCTAGACACATGACGTTGATTTCTCGTGACAAAAATACTCGGAGCTCGGAAGCTTGCTGCAGCACCACTGTTGTTTGTGGTAAAAGAGCTGAAATAACTCCTGTTTGTTGATTGAGTATGAATCGCAAATGAGGACTATCAAGGAAATAAATATATGTCTTTTGTGCATGTCTTCCCCTTACCCTTTATGCAAGCCAATGTCAAAGTAAAGTGCTACAGTTCCATAACTGGGGTATAATGATTTAACTTTATCATCTGAGCATACTTTAAAATGTACGGAAAAGCCTAGGCGACGAAAAGGGTAAAGTATAGAATGCACGACTTGACGTATTCGGTCAAACTGCACCCAAAATTTTGTAATGGAAATAATGGGAAATAAGATGGGTACTGTTTTTGGTAGATCCACCCGAGTCTGTGCACGAGGAATGACAGTATGATGATGGTGGTGACTAGTTGCCATGGCATTTGCTGCATTATTCGTGTCACTTTTTTTTGAAAGCGATTGTTGAACAATAGGGTTTGGTGATAAAATCTTCGCTTTGGTCTTCCAAATATTATAATTATGACGTTGCAGTAGTAGTAGCCTTAACGATAGATCAATCATGCGATTTGTAATGGCTCGGTCTTTTGGTGGTGTCTCTGCATTTGTTATTGGCAATTTGCTTATCGACAGGTCAATATCTCCATCAATGTTAATTTCGACTTGGTCATTGCCTATGTGCACATTACTGTTCAATGTTTGTGCCTCGGCTAATATCTATGACAGTTGCTTCTCGTTTAGTGCAAATGTAATTATAATTTTTTAAAAAAAAGGCATTACATTCGAAAATAACTCGGCATCAAATACAGTCGAATTGGCTTGTACTAATCGATCTTGGATATTCTTTGGTTCTGGTTCAGCATAGTTTTCATCCTCTTCTTTGCTGTCATCTGTCATTCCTAATAATGTGCCTGCATGACGGAGACGCACTGCAACCCTACGTGCTTGAACATGTGCAACAGACAATTGTGTGCCGTCGTCTGCGCGTTTTAATTCTCCAAGGGACGCTTCATTAAAATCTGAACCGGCTATATTCAAGAAAAGAGGGGGTAAGCATCTCTTATTCTCTATTTGGAAACGCATTATCTTGCCTTCAGCAAATCCATACTGTATTAAAAAAGAACCATTCATCTGGTTTGTGTTTGCATACATGATCCAATTATGTCTTCGTACATTCAATGCCTCATCCCAAAATTCATGCTCTCTTTCTATAATTGATTTCAATGCACTGGCGCTCTTCTTTAGGTACTCGGATGCTTGTCTTTGTTGCTATAAATATACATATTAATTGCCACTGACTGCAGCATCTAAAAAAAGCATACTTGCCTTTCTTTTCAATCCTAAATTCAACTGAACAGCCTCCAATTCTGCTTTTAACGTTGGCTTCGGCTTTGTCACATAGGTTGCGCTGAGCGATCCTGCAGGTAAGACGAGATCCTTGGCTGTTGACGCGTGATGACTTGCCAATAATATATTGATGACATCTAACGCTACGTCGATTTCACTCTTGGCATGACTGCATATTTCATTAGTAACAAAGGCTGTATGTAATTAAGATAAAAACTTTACAACAACTTATTGATGACAGATTCTCGTAATTTGACAATATCCATTCCTGAAGGAGCCATTTGCCCTTGTTGCTGTTGTTGTAATTGTAGTTGCTGTTGTTCTGCAGATTCTTTTTGTTCCTTTTTTTCTTCTACTCTTTCGTTTCCCTTTGCAATCGATTCTTTTAAGGATTGCTCTGTGATATCCTTCCACTCTCCACGCTCGAACCAGATGCGATCAACGTTCTGCATGGTTTTCTCTGCCAATGGCACTTCACTAAATACACATTAGTAAGAGCTTCTATAAAAAGAAAGGGACAGTTGTTTTTACGTTTTCAGTATCTCATGACCGGTATTTGTGATATCTACAGTTTTATTATCAATAAAAGGCTCCAAAGAAAGTTTTATTCTCTTTGCTTCCGGTCCACTCGTCATAACTTGCTCTGCAGGTTTAAGAAAAGGGGGGCTAAAATGTTTGGAGATTCTATAACAAAAAATGCACCAAACAAGTCACATCCTACATTGCTCTTGACATGCGTGTTTGTTCTTTTCACACAATCCAAGCTTTGGACAAAGGATGTAACATCGAGTGCAATATTCCTTTAAATCACTGGATAAAGCACGATGACAGAGATTGCATTCTCTTCTACAGGAACTGCAGTGCCAGCCTGCATTGAGTTTTTTTCCACAGTCAGCGCATATGGTAGCGTCTTCGGTTATCATGCTATCATAGCTACTTGTACTGTTTTGGCTATTTTGACTGCTATTGCTATGGTAACTGTTGATTTGATTATCTTTCATAAGTTCAGGAAAAGATAGGTTTTATAGTATGTCCATTTATATATGTTTATATAAACATCATTCCATAGGTAGAATATTCAATATGGATGTTTCGTGAAAAAAGAAAAAAGAAGTGTAGCAGAGAAACATGTCCAATCGGATGACAGTAGAACCCAACCCTTCTTTTAAAAAAAAGGAATTCTCTTGGATGGCTTAGTTCTCATAATGAATGCATACCCGACATTGTTTAAGGGGGCAAAGCGAAAAAGAAAGACAAGGTAGATAGTAAAGAGGTATTGAAGGAATGTATGTATTTCTTTTCTCTTTTTCATTAATTTTTTCATCATAATGAACAAGGATCAGCAAGTAGAGTTAGTACGAGACAACAAGAGTAGTACAAGTGAGCAAATCGCTCTATGTAGAAATCACATCATGTTTCCGGAAGCCGCCCACATGCAATACTCGACTGATTCTTTCATAATGCCAGGACGTCAAGCATCTACGCATTCACAGTCAACGCTTGAAGTCGGCCTGCATACATTTCACCCGAGGCTAAAGTCATCTATTGTATGGATTGATGATGAATATAAAGAATTAAATACACTAAAAGAGATACCTTTGGCTGACAGAAATAATAAGATGTTATTTCTAAGTTTAAGAGGGATTTGTAACATGGTAACAATGCTATTCATTATCGGCTTGATCCTATTCTTATTCATATACCCTTTGGCAAATAAATAAAAACATTACCTTTTATGTCTTCAATCAAGTCGGGAGCATTAGTTCCGTAGAGTAGCACACTGTACGGCGTATCACACAAGAGTGTAGCATTAAGCAGATGAAGGATATAAACCCTAAAGGTTGATATTTTGATTTTCACCGTTCTTTTTTCTTCTTCTTCTTTTTCTCTCTTTCTTTATCTCTCTCTCTTCTTTCTTTCTTTTTTCTTCTTCTCTTGCATTATGGACTGTGAATTTAATAATTCAAGTGATATTCTTTTCCCATCAGATACTGGTTTACCTAAACTATCATCGCCTCTTGATTATAAAGTGCCTGAGGCACACGATTGGGCTATTCAAGACTTTATGCATACATTTCATGACAAGGCATCAAATGAGCTGAACAACTTCCTCAGTTTTAAACAATACATTCCTGTACAAGAGCAGCAACAACAGCCAATGTATGAAGAAAAGCAAATCTTATCTCAAGTGACTCAACATTTAGCCATGGGACATTCTGAATTACATGATATCCTTAAAGGATTCTTTCATTCTGTACAGAACTCAATGCAAATCAATTCATATAACGAAGTCTCCCTACCTGGCTTATCCTGGGCTGAAGAAGCAAATGAATACTATGGTGGCAATGATATTGGTAATCTAGATACCATTCAAGAATTAGAAAAAGGAAGAAGATTGAATACACCTCCTCAATTAAATACAAATATGATGGACATGGATGATCTGTTTGATACTGATTCAGTCGATTCATCATTATCTGAAATGATACTAGACAAACATTATAACCAAGATAAGCCATTGCCTCCACTTCCTCAAAAATCATCACCAAAGAAATTGTTCAGTAAGATTAAATCCAAAACTATCAGCAATACAAAGAAAGTATTTCGCAAGTTATTCCATGTTTCATAACTTCATCCCCCTAAAAAAATTATTGTGTAAATATTGTATTCCCCCCTTTTTATTTCTTTTTACTCCTTGAAAGTGTGTTGTGTTTGTTTATACAACACATATACACAAACACACATTGCACAAGGAAATAAGCCCAAAACTATAGAAACTTTATGTTTCTCTCATACCCCCCCTCTTTATTTTTTTTTCTCATCAACACATTCAAATTTGGCTGGCTAACTATTATACAACATTCATTCCTTTATTAAAAAAAAGAACATCTCTTTTTTGTTTAATAAAAAAAAGTATTTATTGCATTCTATTTCTAGAAGACGAACCAAGTGTAGGTAAAACTCTTCTTCGTTTCTGTGAAAGCTCTTGACTGTTATCTGTTGAAATTCTCTTGGGCTGTGTTGGCTCATCAAAGCTTAAATTATTGTGGTTGTCATTCGTAGTGTCACCTTGCCTTTCTAACGTGGGTGGCACTACATCATCCATCGGCATATTACTACTATTATAACTATCCACCATACCTCGGCCAGAGGAAGCGTACATTGCATTCATCTGCTCTTTTTTTTCGCTTGATTTCCTCTTGACAAAGTCTATGTTTAATTCTTCTGGTATAACGGGTACACTTTCTCTTGTCTGTGTTACGGATTTGAAGACAAACGAACGAATGGCCTCTTTGTCACTTTTATCAACAAGAGAAATGACAGCTTCTTCTAAGCCTGGTTCAGGTAAAATAAATAAATCTCTTGATAACATTTCATTCACCAAAGCTTCCACTTTAAAGGTATCTAATCTTTCTGGTATCGCCCTACTAAGGTCGCTCAGCATCTCTGATGGTTTCAACATTCTCGGGACAGAACTCTTTTGAAACTTTAACATGTCATTCGGGTTCGCCACCCGGTTAATAAACTTTTGTCCGAACAGTTTGGGATTGAACGTTTCATAACCACCTGAATAGTCAACTCGAACTCGGATCAGTGGTATCGGCATATCCATAATTGGTTCAGGTCCCGACATGTTTATTTGTTCTTCCCATTCTATTTTAGCTCTCTCAATCAGGTCTTCAACAACACCTTCTAAATAAGTCTGTATCCCTTTCACATTTGATTGTGATAATGTCTCTACTCGTGATAGTTGAACAGTCGTAAACTGGAACGGTCGTATTGTCTTTAATCGCACTTTTTCCAAGTTAAATTGACTACCTTCAATTTTGAGGATACCCACATGCTTCGGTTCGGCTTCTCCTTGCGATAGACTCGTTGCCACAGAAGACCCAGGTTGCGTGATCGCAAATCGTTCATACTCTTCAGGATGTATTCTGCATTCATGTTCATGTCCCCAGAGGACAAGGTCCAAGAATCCATCTAAAAAGTCCACAGGAATATGCGATTTAGGTCCATGTGCTGCTCTATTCTGATGAAGCACAAACAGATTGAAACAGTTCTTCCAGCCTTCGTCTGCTGGACGCACAAACTTGACCTTATTTGCTTGCCACTGTCGATGTAACCGTTCTTCTCGAATGTTGCCAAGCCCATACAGTGCCAATTTGGTACTGCCCTTTTCCATCAAGATGGGCTGAACCATTACTTCTTCGAAACTAGGACTATTGCCAAAATAGTTGACCATGCCCGCCAAAGAGAGTAAATGAAGGGCACAAAGGTTGTTTGTGCCAGAAGGATCGTCATGATTGCCGTGTATTGAAAAAACAGGCATACTAATGTTCACATTGGCATCCAAATAATTAGCCACTCCAAGTTCGTCTCCAAAGTTAACACCTTGATCACTTGCTATCCACACTTTGCTTTCCCTTTCTCCAAAACAATATTTTCTTAATAACCTCATCGTCTTGTACAGACATGATCGCGATGGTCGGTTATGATGAAATAAGTCACCTCCAAGCAGGATAAAATCAACTTGATTGGACTCTGCAATTTGTAAGATCTCTTCAAATGTGTTGAATGAATCTTGTCCTCGAATGGGATCGCGTTCTAAGTAGCCAAGGTGATTATCTGTGGCTATTAGAATCTTGAATGTGTTGGCATCTGCTGTTGTCATATTGAAAATAATAGAAAAAAAGAAGAACGTAAGCTTACAGGTTAATAATTAAAGCATAATAGGGGAAAAAAGAAAGTCCTACAAAAAAAAAACCCTAGGCGTCTCTCTCTTTTTTCTCTTGTTCTGTTTCTTTTGATATGTTGAGTAGATTTTGTAAATCATGGCCACAGACTGCTCTTTTGGTCAGACGTTCATATCGACCTCGTTTTCAATCATTTGTAACAGAAGTTGTACATGACAAAACTGCGATCAAAGCGATTAGTACTAAAACTCTTGATCAATCATCAACAACAACAAAATCAGCAAACATTCCTGAACAAGTCAATACAGATGATACAAGCAGTTCTACATTAGAAGATACTGACAAGTGGACATGGTACAATAAGCAAAAACAAGATTCAAGAACCATGACACCTGAAGAGTTTATAGACACCGGTGTCTATATCATAAAATCTCGAACGAGCAACACCATGACGATTGCTCGTCTACAAGCTTTATTACGAGATGTCAACATTCAGATTCAAACAACTCAAGATCCAGAATTAGTAAAGGCATTTTTGAAAATATGCAACATGCTCTTGTCCGCCTATGTTCGAACAAAAAATATTAAAGATGCCAAACTCGTCTTTGATGGTCTTGTCGCTTCTCCCTTTTGGGAAGGCAATGAGGAAATAACTACGGTTTCGGTTGTGACATTGATGTATGGTATACTCGAGAATGGTACACGATCGGATTTTTACAAGTTCATCAACTCAGTATCCAAACACAACAAGCTACCTTGCACTGAACGTGTCTACCGAGAACTCTTGTATATCTTGTACCAATATCGAGATGTGAATGCTTGTCGACACTATTTTAAAATAATGAAAGAAAAAGGATTATTAGTCCATGAACCACCTTACAAACCAATGTTTCAAGCTCTGACTATAGAGAATAACTCAGAAGAAGCACTAGAGCTACTGCAAGAAATGAAGGACAAGGGCATCCAGCCAACAACAGGAGTATATTGTATGGTGCTGAGAATGCTGCATGACAACAAAAAGAACAGTAAAGAGAATAAAAAGCGAATGGAGCAAATCTATCAAGAGATGCTGGACTCTGGCGTTGAATTAAACGTCGCTGTATATATTTCCATGGGCTGGGACCCACTTGATGCTCTTGATGAACTGAAAAAGAGATCATCAGCACCTATTCCATCAAGAGACTACAATACTTGTTTATCCCGACTTATAAGGGCAAATAGAATTCAAGATGCACTTCAGTTATACCGAAATATGATCAAGGAGGGTGCTGCAATAGATCAATATACTTATAGTATGATCATGGATGCTGCTGCCAAGGATAATGAACAGCCACCTGAAGCTGTCTATGAGATGTATGAAGAGATGAAACAGCAAGGTCTTCAGCTTGACGAGGTTGCATACACCATTGTGCTAGGAGCATGTGCAAAAGAAAAAAACTTAACAAGAGCGATAAGATACATTGAAGAAATGATTCATTATGGCATTCACCCTAATCAAAAGAACATGAATGCCTTCTTAGCTGTCGTTGCTACATCTTCATCAACATCGTTCAATCCACGTAAGCTACGTGATGTATGGCTCGCTTTGGTCAGCATGGGGTTGCAACCAGATACCCGCAGCTTCAACGTTTATTTCTCAGCGCTGTATAAACAAATGCAACTCTGGAAGGCAAGAGGCAGAAGCTATTATGCTAACGAAAGTCAAGAGGATAACTATGGTAATCCGACTCGAGGTCCATGCAGATATATGGTCATGGGTTATCGAGCCATGAAAGAGAGAGGTCCATCGTCCAAGCCTGATTTTGCAACATACACCATTCTCATAAAAGGATTAGCCTCCGGAGGCTTTACTCGTTTAGCTATGCAGATCTATGAAGACGCCAAGAACGAAAGAGTATATCTAGATGTAACCGCATTTAATGAATTGATCATGGCGCTTGATAAGAAGGGTGATCTGTCGGATATTATGAGCATATGGTACGATATGAAGATCCTTAATGTGCCACCAGATAATACGACTTATGATCTCGTCATGGATACCTGCGAGAAGCTTGGTCTTCACGAAACGTTCCTGAACATTAGAAGTCAACGAAAGAATGATTTTAATAGACTTTGGAATAAATCCAAGAATAAATAAGCCACTGTGACTTTATTTCTTTCTCTGTGTTGCACTTTCTCTCTTTCCTTTCTATTTTGATAGATTTAATTTTTTATATAATTTCAGTTACCTTTTTCTTCTTTTCCCTACATCTTTCTAAATGTTGCGTACAGTGTAAGTATAAATATAAGCAAGTGAACTTGTTGTGCTTATACTTTAAACAATAGTAAGCCTAAAAATGCTCGCTCCAAGCGTTTCTTGAAGAATCGTGAAGCAAAAGTACATGAAAATCCCAAAAATACTTTAATCATCAAAGGATCTACAACAAGTCAAGTAATCAATGATGCCTTGAAAGATCTGGTATGTTTGCTTATATAGATCTAAATATGGTAACTTATGTCTCGTTAGTATGCTTTGAAACGGCCCAATGCTATCCACTTTTCCAAAAAGAATGAGATCAAGCCATTTGAAGACGAACAAAAACTCGAATTCTTTTCAACTAAAAACGATTGTGCACTTTTAGTTATTGGAACGCATTCCAAAAAGAGACCACATAACTTAACATTTGTTCGTATGTTTAATCATCAACTATTAGACATGTATGAGCTTGGTATCGAAAATGCTCAATGCATGGGCTCTATTCCTGTAAGTTTTTTTTTTTTTTTTCGTATAATAGGTCCATTTGCTAACATATCTATAATAGGGACCTAAATGTTCTTTGGGATTAAAGCCCTTGATGATTTTCAATGGTGAAAAGTTCGATACAGACACAACCTATAAACATTTGAAGAGCTTCTTTTTAGACTTTTTCAATGGTGAAGTGACATCCGCTATCAACTTGGCCGGTCTTGAACATGTGATCAGTATAACGGCTACACCTGATGATAATCGAATCTTATTCCGTACATATTTGGTGCAAATGAAAAAGAGTGGAGTAAAGACGCCTCGTGTCGAATTGGAAGATATGGGCCCTCACTACGACTTTGTGATCAAGCGAACTTCATTGCCCAAGTCTGAAATGTGGTCTCAAGCTGTCAAGGTACCCAAGGAGCTTAAGCCAAAGAAGGTCAAGAATCTCGAAAAGGATGAGATGGGTGATACTTATGGACGTATCCATCTTGGCAAGCAAGACTTTAACAAGATTCAGACAAGAAAGATGAAGGGTTTGAAAAAGAGAGCAGGAGAAGATGAGGATGAGGATGATGAAGATGCATCTCCAGCAAAGAAACCAAAGGTTTAGATAGATTTTGTTTTTGCTTTTTATCTTCTCCTCTTCCAACAGAAAAAGGAAATATAAATAAAGCTGTAAAATGTAAATAGTTAAACAAAAATAATCCGTTGATATGTGTGTATGTGTGTATGCATGTCTGTTATAAAGAGTGGGAGGTTTTTATTACTACTACTACTACTACTATTATTATTATTAAAGCAAATTTTATATATTTACTGGCAATTTTTTGTTATTTTGTACACGCATACAGAGAGAAAGAACAGGCAAAGATAGGATGAATTAATACATGAGTGATCTTGCCCATTCATCAGCAACAGAAATAAGTTCAAATGTGTAGTCAGCAGGTTCGATACTTCTACTGGAGGATCGTGGAGTTGAACCTGGCGTGCCTACAGCACCTACCGCCGCCGCTGCTGCCGCCATGGCAGCAGCCGAGACAGAACCAGAAGGAGACGAATTACCACTGACTTGATGCTGATAACAAGATTCTATAGAGAATGGTGCGGTAGAGTTATTGGCAGGTATTATATACGAATTATCTAGAATGTCTTGTCGACCAGCGAGTATGTCTACAGATGAAGAAGTGGAAGGCAGATTATTCTGTTTGTGGCAAAGGTCGTTGATTTCGGAGAATGCAGATGCATAGGTGTCATGATGGTCTTGATGCTGATGATGATGATTGTTATAAAATTGATGCTTGGGTTGGAGAATGACGTCTATCAATCGAGAAAAATTGCTACTACGTAGATCACCCATAGGGATCTTTTCGACCAAGAGCCGAATATCTTCGAGACTCTTTCTGAACTGCACCTTGGCTGTTTTGCCCACGTCTAGTTCGGGACTATCAAAGTCAACAACGTGTGTGAGAGCAGCAAAGACGGCCGAGAACGCTGATACGGCAGAGGTGTACATCAGATGTGGGTACTGCACAGTGAGTGAGACAATTTCGGTAATAGTGCTGGCAAGCGCATGTCGCCTGTCACGTATATGTTGATCTTGTCGACAACACATGATAAGCGACAACTCTAGGTCATAGCAAATCAAGTGAAGGTTCGTTATTACGGCAGATGCAGGTATCTCTTCCTCAGTCCATCGTAATTCCACAGGCAGCATCTCTCTCCACCGATGAATGGCATCCAAGTACTGCAATATTTGGTTTTCTTCTTCCATCGTCCATCCATCCTTGACGTCGTAAGTAAAAAATCGAATGACTTTTTCAACAAGCATCATCAGCCGACACAACTGTGTGAATGCTTCTAGCACAAGCCGCTCATACGCTGTATCTTCTGGTAATTGACTAGGCAGATCAATCTCAATATCCTTTGATTTCAGCATCCACGGTCTTTCCATCGTACAGCTCTGCAGCTTATCCATCACAAAGCACGTCCACAACACACGTTTTCGAAGTTCAATGTCACACTGAGGCATCTGGCTACTATAATGACTGGTGTGCAGCCCGAGTTCGAAGCACATACGAATGGCCATCCCGCTATACATCCACGCTCGGCTCGATCGTTGACGATTTTGATCACACTCGTAAAACGTCATGTAGAGGAGTGCAATCACTGTACTGATACGTGGAGCATCAAGAAAATCGTCAACTAGCTTTCTCGCACGATGATAAAAGATGTCTTCCTGCACCTCAAGGTTTGGCAAGAGTGCTGATTGCTTGGCCTTTCTGACAGCATGGGCGTACATGATATTGAGCAAGAGTGGGGTGACCAATGGACCCTTGACTTTGAGTTGATCGTAAAACATGGACCGTGAGAGGATAGGGAGAATATGGTGACACTCATTGAAGAAGACGCCGATCAGTTGTTCCTGAATTGATCGTGAAGGCATATCAATGGGCACACTATAGTAACTAGGCAAGTGGGGCTCGGGTGTCCATCGGATGAATTGGCCATAACTACGCCAAGGAGTCACTTTATCGCTATCCAATTTTGTTGTCGTCGTCTCGCTATTGAGTGTAAGCTGAACCAAGCCGTCTGTCAATTGCTCGATCATTCTGTCAGGTCTTGTCGCTGGCTGCTGTGGAGAAGGAGGATCGGAAGGTGCACGATTTGAATCGATGATCCGTGGCTGAGCTGCAAAGAGATTGTCGGCCTTGTCTGCTAAATATATTTTGTTGTCTTCCGAAACAAGACTACCGTTCGTCGTTGTCCTTGTGGCCTCTTCAGAATTATCAATAGGCTCTAATCTGATATAGTTTTCATCTGGATTCTTTAGATACATGCATTTACGTCTTCGAGCTATTTGTATTGAAAAACGCATGAATAAATGGAGCAATTGGTATGCTATTCAACTACCTTTGCACTACGAACAAAGAACCCCAAAAAAAGAGAAAAGGTAAGATATATTGAAATAAATTTGAACTGTCTGTAATACCTGCATACAAGGATGTTTACCATCACACTATACATAAAAGCTTTCTCATGAGAACATGAAATGAACAGAGGTATAAATATGAAAGGTTACCTTTATTTTCTTCATTCGACACGGATGACATGCTCTTCCTACTTTGAGTCTTTTGTGTCTGCTGTCCTCTGCGATCTTAAGTTAGATGCTCATGTGTAAAACAAGTAAATATTTATGACCAACCTCTTATGGGTAATTCAAGTGTGGCAAACATGATTTCCAAAAAAAAAAAAAAAATAGAAAAGCAAGGAGAAAGAGAAAATATACTCACTTTTACTGCAACAAAAAAGATTGGTTTCCTCATTTGTCAATCTTTGGGATACATGTGTGACACAAGCCATTTGCCCCAATCAATAGGAGAAGACTCGAAATGACTAAACTATGAAGAACCCTGGAGATTCTTAGGTAATACACTACAGAGAATAGTATCTAGGCAACGGAAACCCAGCAACCGTTTCTTTATTTTTTGTTTTTTATTACATGGGCACACAGAGAGACAAAAAGATTTAGGCTATTTACAGTACAGGAAAAAAGAGAAAAGAGAAAGAGAGGGGTGGGGGAATCATTGTTTACATGTCAACAATACGTTGTACTTTGCCACAATCAGGTAAATGCTCGCCTCTATACTTAATCAGGTACTCTCCATTCTCTTTGGCAGTTACCGTCTTATTCACTGGACAACCCTGTGCATATGTCAAAAAGCAAATTTAGTTATGCTTAATCACTTGGAAGAATTAACTTTCTTTACCTTTGTGCTATTGGAGCATTTATAGTAAATGCTCTTATTACCTGTCTTTTTCTGAATGGTGTTGCCGTTGTTCTTCCAAAAATATCCATCATTATATGGATTTTCTCTTGTCTCCACGATTTTTGAGATGGCCTGCATCTCACGTCTACGTCTAGATTTTGGGGGCAAAAAGGAAGGTTCGTAACGACTAGAAAAGGAAGAACGGTGTTCTAACTTGTTCATCTGATACGATATCTGCTGTTGCTGTTGATCTTGTCCGAAATGGAAAGGGGGTGATAACGGATGGAGCGCATTTTTTTGATTCGTTGTCATCATCGCTTGTTGTTGCGGAGGAAATCTATGTTTACAAAATAGGTTAGCTTAAACTGACGAAAAAAAAAGTAAGGGCAACTTACCCTAATGAAAGGATGGATGCAGCAGCAGCGGCAGCAGCCGAGGATGAATTAGAGTTTGGGGAAAAGGTGCCTCGGTCGTCTAATTCATCGTTCGAATTTGAACTACCATCAAAGGAAGAACCAAGGGCAGAATCTCTTCTGTCACAATCATTGTCGTCAAATAATAAATCAATAGCACTTGGCCTTCTGTTATCGAATGTTGATTGGAGGATATGCTGATGTTGTTGTGGTTGGGGAAATGCCTGTTGTTGTTGTTGTTGTTGTTGTTGATGGTGCTCGTAAAGCATCAAATCTAATTCTTTTGCTCTCAGTTTTGCTTCCTCTGCCCTTCTTTTATCTTCTTCTACTTTACTCATTAAAATTAATTTCAATAAATCTGGTTGAGACTGGTAATAAAGAATGATATCTCTTAAATCGCAGGCAACGGGATTAGTGACTAATTCACCATCTTTTATATTTGATTGCCATGATTCCTGTTGCTTTGGATTATAGCCATTATTCATCATGAACTGGTCATTCTTTGGCTGCTCTATAAATGTTTGATAATTATTCATTACTATCAAAGAGGGGGAAAAAAGGGCAAAAATTTTTTCTTTAGTCTTCTCTTTTCTTTTATTCCAATTGGTGATATTTGTGGAACTTGGCTGAGATATAATAATAGTGAAACATGGTCAATACAAGTGCTCACAGCAGTATTGGTACATATAAACAAGACATGGTTGTGTAAGAGGAATCATAAGGCATTGTCAATTACAAAGTTTTCACCTTTGTTGCCATGGATACATAAAGTATTATAAACTAACGTGACATGATTTTATGTAACCATGGTGATGAAGGAGATTGGTACAGCAGAAAAAAGAACTTTTGCGTGTAGGACAGATGTTTGTCCCCCACGACATAATTACCTTTTATATTATTGTTTACAGACATGCAAGATGGAACGAGCAGGTAGCTTAAATCAGCGTCATGGATAAAGCCATGTTTAAGGGATTTTGAGGGACTGCTTATGTAATATAGCTGACTATTTCTCCAATTCTTTTACTTATCGTGACAGATCTCCTTTTATTACGTTTTGTGTTGTTAGCAAGCACCATTGCTCCGTCACTACACATGTATCAATATTTAATATAAGATGATCCCACTTAATTGACAAATATTCACATGTCGGGGTCATTAAATGGATTTAATTACTCTACCACGAAGCTCTTTTGAATTTAAACAAAAAAAAACTCAAGTTTTTGTTGTTCTGAGGCCCAGAAATGTGCAGCAAATCTAGAGTTCTGACTGCACAAGTAGTAACTCCTAAGGATCCTCAGCAGCTCGGATGTATGTATCTTGAAGGTGTGTTCAGAATATGATGACTTTGAATAAAATGATATGCAAGTATGGTATTAATTTTGAACTAATTGGAGAGGAGAGAGTATGCCTTTGAGGAGGCGGTGGCTTATTCTTAGTCAGTAGAACAAAAGCAAGTATAGTGTTGTTCATTTTGCATAAGAAAGAAAGCTGTATGTATGTGTGCGCAAAGAGTGAGTGAGCCAACATTTGCTTACTGTTTTATTATTTATTCTTTTTAAATTTTAAAGGAATACAGTGAAAAAAGAAAAGCAAGACAACGAGGAAAAAAATATTAGCGGTTGTGTATTAATAAAGTGATAAATTCAATAAATAGTAAAGTCTATTCTCTCCAAGTATATTTGATATTACTTGGTCTTTCAGGCACAATAACCATAGAAGTGTAGTCAGGCTTAGGCACGCCTTTACCTTCTTCCAATTCAATATCAAACATACGGATCATGGTAGCAAGAATGGCCTTGATTTGGAGATAACCAAATTGTTCACCGATACATCTGTGTCTGCCTGCTCCAAAGGGTAAGAATGGATTCTTGGAAGAAATACCAACAGCACCAAAACCATAGTCAATGTTGCTATCATCGCCTACTTCCATCTTATGCACAGGGTCCGTCAGGTTGACCCATCTCATAGGATCATACTTTAAGGGTTCATTAAAGTATTGCTCGTCGATTTGAGTCACACCAGGAGCAGCACACAAAAAGTTGCCCTTAGGAATCTCATGACCGGTCTTTTCGTAGACAACCTTGTCTGATACCACGCGTCTCATCATTTGGTAGATGGGTGGGTGAAGACGAAGGGTTTCACGAACACAACTATCTAATAAAGTCAATTCCTTGAGGTTATCAAATGTCAAATCAGCCTTGAGAGAACCCAGCTTGGTGATTTGTTCCTCACGCAGGGCACGAATCAAGTCAGGACGAGCGGCTAATTCCAAAAGAGTCCAAGCTGAGGTAGTGGCAGAAGTGTGTTGACCACCAAAGAGAACAGCAATCATCATACCCGCAATGTGATGATCAGGTAAGGGTGTTCCATCTTTATAGGTAGAATCCATCAATGCTTGAAGCAAGTCCATGTTGCTCTATAATATGATTAGCATCAACATATCTCACGCATATACGCTATAGACCTACATTGTCGTTGTCAGCCTTTCTGCGAGCGATAATGCTAGAGTAAAGTTCAGCCATTTTGCGACGAGCTTCATCACGTTTGCGGTAAGAGGGCAAAGGAAGATTAGGGAAGATGAAATTCAAAGGTTGGAATCCTTGATCGAGATCGTAGTATAAGCCAGCAACACTGTCATCCAAACTAGCACGGATTTCCTTGCCCATCAAGCAACGGGAAGCAGTACAGATGATCAATTTACCAAGAGTGTGATACGCATCAAATAATCCAGTAGGTTTTTTGAAATCCTTGAAAAAGTTTTCAACTTCTTCGACAATCATTGGAACGTGCTGACGGAATGCTTCAGAGTGTAAACCAGCCTTGATGAATCTATATCATCTCTTTCTTTTAGTTTGATCACTGGCTTGCCTTTTTCCTCTCCTTACCGCTTTTGCTCCATGAATACGCTGTGGGGAGCATCATAGACAACTTCAGGGCCAAATACATACTTGGTCATGTGATTATAAGCTTCAGCAGCAGATGCTAAATTCTGCTTTGCGTTAAAGACAAATTGGTTACCCTCGGCGCCCAAGAAGACGGTAACACGTCGGCCAACCATATAAAAGGTGAATACATCTCCATATTTCTTTTGACACTCTTTCAAAAAGTTGATGGGATTCCTACATGACATTTGATCAGTTCACTATTACACACGCTTTCTCTGTCTTTTTGTTTACATTCCAAATTCTACTGCATTGCCCAAGAAAGGGACCCATGAAAAGACAACAGGAGGCTCCTTTGGATTCTTGGGACCAAACTAAAGAATATGTGAGCTGATGTCATCTTGCTTTTACTTTATGCTTTACCAGTTGGTTCAAAATGTTGATGGCGACAAAGACAACAAATGCCAAAGCAGCATAAAGAGGCAATGTCTCTAGAGGAGGGAGTAAAGTGGAGATGATGGCCATTGTATGGTTAAAGGAAACAAGCGGAAAAGAAAAGGATCGGGGAGGCTTTTTTGGTGTTAATGACCCATTGGTTTGTGTAACGGACGGGTCTGATTGCAGAAGATTTTTGTTGTAATGGTTTTTCATATGAACTTGGACGCTTCTATACACAAACACAAATTATAGCTTAAAAGTTACATGTCTATTATCATACATGCTAGGTAGGATTATCTTGCTTCCTTTAAAGGCTTGTTGTTTGGCCTAAGCGCTGCACTACATTCGTACTTGTCAAGTTCTATGTGAAGCATTACAGAACCTTTTGGGCTAAAGTCTTGTCTTCAAATAGTACAAGGTAGGCATATAATAAAATTGATTCCCTAAAGCATCTGCTCTTTTATCATACAGACTACCTTCTAAAACTCCATATGCTATTGTCCTACAGATGACAGACCTTTCAGGCAGGGGTAGTGAAGTGTCAAATGATAAAACTATCAATGAAATTCCTTCTGATGGGAACAGAGCCTTATTGTTGCTATATTAGCTCAAAGGAGGCTCTATTAGCGATGGCCATTACATCACACAACTATCCCTTCTTTTGTGTTTTCGTGATTCTGGGTTATTATCTGATGCCTCCAGTGGATATCATTAATGTAGCGCTCTCTTTCTCTTTCTTTTGTGCAATGTACTACTTTTATAACTTTATCATTCAAAAGGTGTACTTCCATTTAATAAAAGTGTATTCATATGCTTTACTGGATTTATTGTTTTATAAAACACATTGAATCGTTCATTCTGTGTATTTATCCGAATTACCTGAACGCAAGACTGCCAAAAGATATCTTCTACTTAAAGACATTCTTTATTTCACCTACAAACAATTTAGAAAAAACTTTGGAGGCTGTTATCAGAGAACTCTAGTGACTTTTTGATGTAGAAGCACATGTAACTGTAAAAGACATAAGTAATTATTCCTCCTTCTTTTTATGTTTGTTCTTACGCTTTACTATCAAGAACATCTTTTTGGTATGCAAATGTGACACTATGATCATCAAATTTAAACCACTAAAAAGAATATTATATACTCCATCGTCATATATATGTATACACAAACCTCGTTCCTATGCTTGGCAAACATGGTGTAATGTCCTGTATCTACCTTCCCATGGTGGTTCACTACTGCAAACAATGTATAGACATTGCCGCTAACTTGCCATGTAAACAATGGGTTCAAATACTCTTTATTATTTTACCTATTCTTATTTTTACTAGCGGTATAAGGTGTCAAGTCAAGATCAACAGGGAACTTTATCTTGGTTTCTATCTTGCTTATCGAGGTACTGTGCTCAAATCTCTGTTGTCCCATAGTGAATATAGGCTAGCATACTATTTATTCATTACCTTTAGTTGGATACTGAGTACTGGTGGTATTCGTTTTATAGACAGTTGTTTTGTTGCCTCCTACCAGAATATTGTATAAATGAGCACCTTGAGAAAGGAGGAAAATGATCGTACCTGGAAGCTATTTCCACATTTACTGCAGCTATACACATTTGTACCTAATCTTTCCGGTTGTGTATATCTAATGTAATATGTCAGTTTCAATAAGGGTTCAAAAAGAACAAATTAAACCTTTCGAGGCAATCAGCAAGTGTGTTTCCATGCCTACGATCTTCATGGCTATGTCTTCGTCCGTTACCCAAATGCTTCTTCTTTTTCTCTGGTGCTTTTAACCCTAGGCTAATGTCCAGCATTGGGTCATATGTTGTCGTTGTGTTTTTACACCGTAGGCATGTGACAGTGGACTGGAGTAGTCCTGAAAAGGTTTTATGTATAATGCATTCGCAGTTAGATAACTTGCTTTCTTCACAGCCTGCATGAATATTGTTCAAAGCACTAATGAAGAACTCGTGGGCATCCTGTTGTGCGTATCCTGCTAGCTCTTTTAAGCTCATCCACATGGTCTGTAGAAAACGACATGGACCATATGGTTGCTTATTTCCTGAGTATAGCTACAAGAAACTCAGAGTTAATCCGGCTCATCATGCAAACTATCAGTCTACCTGTATAAATAGATCATCCATTTCACAACACATACAATATTGTCGTTTACAAAGCTTTGAGTTGTGTTTATCGCTTAAGAAATAAGCTTTCAATATAGGATTATGTACTAGGCTTTGTAAGATGACATTCATAAAACATGTATTTCCCATGTTACAAAGCCCACGAAGGCCTTGGCAGGAAGCAATGACTGAGTTGTTTACAATTGTCGATATATCTTTTTCAGTGGGTTCCCATAGAGTATATTGCACCCGCTGCTTTTTTCTTCTTGATCCTTAATAATGAAAGGAAAGGATTTAGTTGATTTAAGCCATATATATTTTTTTTCTCTTTTACTCGATGAAACAATCTCTGCTTTAGTGATCTTTTCATTTATTTCTACATCGTAGACGTAGTCGTTACATTCACAGCAAAATATAGTATGTCGATCAAAGTCTACGGCTACAATTCATTGTCAGATAAAACAGACTTAATGGATCCATCTTACCAAAACAATGCTTCTTCTCCATTTGATGCTCCTTCATATGCCCTTTTCGCCAACATCCCATAAAGACACAATGGAGACATGCATGCAAACGAGACAACGGATCAGAACAGACACTGCATTTGGGGAAAGGTAGCTACAATCGGTCATGGGAAGGATCAATGGATAATCATTTCTTACATCCCATATACTTACTTCTTTTCGATGCTTTCTCTTCTTTTCTACTTCTTGTTTACTTTTATGCCACGAAATGGAATACTGAATAAGTGACCGGTAGTTTTCGAGTATACTGTTTTCGTCCTCTCCTTCCTGTTTGTATTTTTGCTTGATCCTTGTCAGATGAGGGCAAGCTCCGGTCTGGATCAAGTGTGATTCACCGTAAAAGTGAGATGGATTACTGTCTGCATAAATGACATCATACACCGTCTTTTGATCTGGATGTTGGAAAGGTGAAGGTGGAGATAGTGGTGACAGTGATGAGCCAGGTATATGTGCCATGATTTAATATAGAAATAAAGCAAGTTTGCTTTCAAATTGAAATAAAAGCGTAATAAAAAAAAAGGACAAGAGACTGGTTTGTGTACACTTCTTTTTCGTCTTTGCTGAGAACAAAAAAGAATGGAACACCAATTAGGCTGGCCTCCTCTTGATACATACTTTGTATGGAAAGAAGAGAGTTGTTGAATTTACGCAGTATACTCGTATCACAATCACATCATTATTTTAGCTACGACTCATATGTTTTGTTATTTGATCTCTCTATTTTTCATACCTTGAACAAGAGCAAATTAAAATATCGTACTTTGAATTGACCAAGCTCCCCCACGGTCTGGCCACGGTCAACTTGATTATGTTTAGATTGACAAGTGAGGGAAGAGCTTTCAGAAGAAGAAAAAAAGACGTAAAGGCCTGTATTCCTTTAATGTGTCTTGATACTGTTTCTTGAGCTAGTGTACAGAGTTTACTGACTCCTTCAGCAGACACTATTAAAAGAAGTATATACCAAATGATTGTTTGGTTCATTTATGAGTTTACACTTGGCGTTTACCTTTCTTATAACAAAACTGAGAGTTTTTGATGAGGAAGCTGCTCAATCTTATTGTCAAACCTAAGGTCCAAGCTCAAGCGCGCTCTTTCAATCACAGTTGGTAAATAGAACCGTCTTTAACATAACGTATACTCCACATGTAAATAGATATAGCGCTTAATTTCTATCAGTGTGCGAATAGTTTGTGAATAAAGGATAGTCATATAGTGCGAATGTAGACTTAAACAGATTGTTATTGTCAATGGGTGCTTATAAACTACTGGCATAATAGTTAAAGAATAGGCTCAAATGAGAAATATCACTACTTAAAGAAGAAGTTGCATGTTTTGTAAATAGTCCAACGTACTTTCACATGCAAGATCAACCCGTAATCCTACCACCCATTCTCAGGGACAGGTACAAAGGTGTATGTACGACCATAAAATTATATTTTATTTATATTAAATAGGTTGCCTCTCCAAGGTGTGTGTTGGTGATGCTGAAAACACAAAGTTTTCAAAATTAAAGAGACTATTCCTTTCCAACTGATTGACGTAGGGCAATACAACACATATCATGGCAGCTATGATACTGATGATCATACTAAATCGAATAAACCCATAGACCAATCGAACAATACCTCTGATCGTCATGACAACAGCAGCAAATAGAGCGTACAATATCAGCATGGCAAGAGCGATTGGTATAATGTCTGATTGTACTGGGATATTATTAAGTATATTGTAGTAAGTGCGAACGATGGGCGGACTATGTATGTATAGGATGTTGAATAGATTGGATACAAACTGAAACACTTGTGCTGGCGGTGGTGCATGAAATTGAGCTCCAAAACTATCGTATAAATAAATATACCATTTCGAAAAGGTCTCTGCTACAATGGCGTCCATTTGCTGACAATAGAAAAAGAAGAGGAAAAAAGAAAAGGAAAAAAGAAAACAGCTTTAATGTCTGTAATTGAAAATTTTATGTCACACATCCTATGATCTGTTACAATAACCCCTCTTTAACCTTGTTTAATTTGAAATAATTTGACAGCTGTGCCATTCCATGGGCCATAATCCTTCATCGTACCAACATAATTTTGCCCCCAAAGCATGCTTCTGAACCATATAAACAATGCCTCTCCCCATTGAAACTTTCGAATAAATATCGGGCATTCTTTCGTCAGCACATCCTTGGTCGAGACGGTTGCTAGGTATGTCTTTATCTCATCAAGTGCGATATCATTATCTTTACACTTTTCTTCAATCGTTGGAACTAGGAATTCCAACAGTTTTATAATCTCTTCCAAGGGTAGCTTTGATTTCCACGAATTGAACCACTCCTCTGTTGGGGTAAACCCAGATTTTGATACGAATTTAGAACTGCTATTGTCACTAACTGTCAAAGACCCTTCAGCTACTTGTTGCTCTTCTTCTTCTTCTCTTTTAGTCGAATCATCGTTTTGTTCTTCTTTAGTTTTTCCTTTTGGCTCATTCTCTATCTCTCCCTTTTTCTCCCTTAGTGCACGCAATCTCTCTACTTCAGTCAATGCAGAATCAAAGGTCAACTGGTTCAACTTTTCAAAGTAATCGTGATGGAGTATGGCAGAATAGACAAAATTGGGGTTGTTTTCGTATTGATGATGGATGATGTTATTAAATGCTTCTAATAAATATGTCCCCAGTAAGTAATTGTATTCATCATTCAATAAAAAGCTAGGAGATGACATGGAGTGGAATAAGCTTATTAATTTCGATGCTGTAGTTACTCCCATGCTCTTTATATAAGGCGAGATGTTGGTTATCGTCAGAGTCAAAGCAGGATAAAGCGAGGAAAGTGCGCCATGAGTTGAGGCGATGAGTGAAAATATTGACTAAGTTCATGTCAGTTACCTCTATGCTTCCTATTGTTAACCACAACTTACAATAATCAAAAAGTCAGCATAGGTGCCATTGAATGCATAGAGGCGAATGATGGAAGGTAGGGATGAATGTGTTGAAAATTGCTTGTTGAGCTTAACACAGTATCCCTTGTTAGACGACAATGTCTGAAGCATAAATGCACACATTCTTACTAAGCCCAGTTGTGCTACAGCAAAAGTATGAGTTGATACATATTCATCATCATGCCTTGTGTACCTATATTAGTCTTGTTCTCTGTGGCGTGGAAAAGCAAGGCTACGGTCAGGTCAAGCACTCGATCTGTCTCCACAAGATAATCTCTAAACCTCTACACATGTCTCTTGTTAACACTGCTCAGTATATAGACATCCTTGAACTTACAGAGTTTATCTCGATCAAACGCCAACAAAACATCATGACTTCCACAAAACAGCTCACACGTTTAGTTGATCCGGGTAGATACGTGTTCACAGCGGTCATTGGATTGACTAGGATACGATAAAGCCCATCTACTAAAAACTCAAAGTCTTTAGGTCGGTGCAGCTTAGACATGTAGTGGCGGAAGGCATTATCGATGACACCACTGGCCCCAGTCTGATCTTGTGGAGAGAACGCCTCTAGCTCGACACTTGATTTGGATACAGTAATCACATCTGGACTTTCAAGTGTTATCACCTCTACCTGAGTAGGCGGAAATTCTGAACTGACAGGCGAAGAGCTAGAGTCAACCTGGCGCATTAGATCTGCCTGCTGTGGTGTTCTGTAGTCCAGTAGGATGAGCAAACAAGTTAAACTGAACGATACCATCTGTTCCTTATTTTCACCCAAAATGTGTGTATATGGCATCCATCCTGTGGGATCATAGTTACAGACAGCATTCATCAAGCTACAAAGTAGCACCAGTACGACTTTCTTCTCTGTTTTGGTTACAACATGTCTCAGCCAAAAGTCTTCTTTTGATAGCAACTGTGCAGGTGGAATGTACATTGATTTGGAGAGTAGAACGGTGAGTAACCGTAGTACCTCTGTGCGATTAGATTCAATATCTTTGGAAGTTGCAAGTGATGATGTGGATGCTCCTACGCCGTTTTCCCAGATAGTGTATACAATTTTAGATTCTTTTGTCGCTACTGCAATAGGAAGTGTGAATCCAGAAAGATATAAAGCTTGAATAGTCACTGAAAACATAAGGGTTTAGTAAAAGAGTAACTACTAGTGCAAATCCTTATACTTTTTAATAGCAACTCTGCACGACATGGCAACATTTCATACTCGGGTTTGTTGTCTGCTGTTTTTGTCTCTTTCTCTTGATGTCTAGGAGCCCAAAAAAAAGATTCTTCCCATTGTTGACATTCGGCACTTTCAAATATAAATGGCATTAATCGCGTCAATATTCTACAACAGTTTAAAAGGTGGTTGATAGAGTTCTGTTCTGAAGGAAAGTTCTTTGCTTCCAAGATAGTTTTCATTTTCTCTAATATCTTATCAAGTGTCAAAAGCTTTTGTATTTGTATAAGTATAAAGCAGCAACCTTATCTAACAATACTTCCATGTTACTTCTTGCACTATCTCTCACACGTCGAATATCATTTGCTCCAATTAATGAAAACACGTCGTCAACAGACTCAGGTAGTTCCCAAAACTATATATATACATATGCAAGTCAGTTCCCCCCTTTCCTGTTTGAAGTACTTTTATTACAGAACGCCAAAATTCGTCTTCAGTTGCAGAAATATCCTAATGAAACAGGTTAAGCATACGTGTAATATTTATTGCTTTGATATTCACCTTTTCCTCATACAGCTTGAATACAGTTTTCCTAAAGGCAAGTTTGCTATCTGTTGCTCCCATATCTTTTTATTATTAAAAGACAGAAGAAAAGAATCTTTTTTTTTTT